ATTGAATTAGTTAATTATACTAATTATATCAAATTATTATGAATATATTACTTTATATAAAATTGGGTTTATTCTTGATGTGTTTTCCTTTAATTTTTGATAGTTATTGTTTTCTGTGTAGAATTTTTGTTTGACCTAACATTTAATACGTATAATTCCAAAATGTATTTTAGTTTTTAATATATGTATTCCTTTGTGTATTAAACACACACATAGATGTATATGTGTGTGCCTATATATGCATTCATGTGTTTGTTTATATGTGCATTTTTTCTTTGGAATTCCTTGCTTCCTGATCTTCATATACAACTTGTTATGTAAACTGAGGTATTCAAAAACAGAACTTTTAAATTTTGTTTTAGAAATAACTATATTTTTATAAATGCTCACCAATATTTTGCGTTTTACATAACAGTAGTTCTCATATTCATTGTCAAATCTTGAATGTAGCATATAAAAATACAGATATCTAGTAAACTGAAAATATTCTATGCAAGAAACAACTCTCACTAGTTCCACTGGCAACCTACTTGCCTACAGTGTTACATGGCCTCTTCTCTCAGGAAGTTGTGTTCTACTTCAGGGATTTGCAATAGAGTAGGGAAATTGGGAAACACCAGCTCAAAGTGGAAGTGGTAATTGTGATATATAGGATGGAGGCTTGTGAGAATGATAAAAAGAGAACACATTTTTACCTAATTGTAGATTATGTATGTCTTGTTTTCTCCCTAGCCTTCTTAATTTCACTTCTGTTAGTTTCACCACTGTGAGGTGTCCCAGTAACTAACACAAAAACACAACTTACATCTTCAAGAATTTAAGAGATAGTTTACTGTGTATCCAAGTATGAATGACATTGGCTTTTGAACATAGATTTAGGTTACCTCTTATTCCATGTTCCTTTCTAGTCACAGTTTCATGAGATTTTATAGTAACAGAATAAAAGAAGTCATGAACTTAGCTACTTTTGAATATATTGGTGGAAATATTAATAGGAATATTAAATTAAAGTAGGGAAATCATTATCGGCCTTAGATGCTGACAATATTCTTAGTAAGTCTTGTGATTGTTGGTATCTTACGGTTTGTTAAGTTAATAAATCATTTTACCTGTTACTTTTATACAATCTTACAGTTAAATAATTTCTTGAGTTTTTCTGGGTGCTTTTGTCTTCATTTTCACAAAATACAAGAGTTGTATGGATTGACAGGTCATAATTTGTCTCAATGTATTTTGTTTTTATTTAAGACAAGGCTGAACATTTAGGGGCCAAAGAAATAATGTTATAATTTGAATCTATATTGTCTTTCCCTGGGCCTCTGTTGAAAATTTAATCTTTAGTAGATCATACCATTAGGAACCATTAGGAAGTGGAAGAAAATAACTGACTGCATCTAGTTAGGAACAAAAAGTAACTGCACAGTATGTCTGAAGTAAAGACATTTTTTTTGTTTGTTTTTATGCTTTTGTTTTGAGCACTTGTCCTTTAGTCTCTCATGGTCACTCAGTATCATTTTTATCCTTTCATTCTTTAACAAAGCTACTCTACTTCATGTACCCTCTACCACCATACTCCGTTTCAACTCAGGCCCAGAAACAATACATTGGAGTCATGATGGGTAGACATTTGAGATTCTGTGAGAGAAAAAATCATGTCCTCCTTTAAACGTATTTTTCCAGTTTTTCTCCTTAAACTTACAACTGACAATCAGGGTTATCGCCATGAATAACTTTGAAAGTCATCTTAAAGTAAACCCTTTTTCACCTGATAACAATTCTAGAATGTTGGAGTATTAAGAAAAGCACAGGCTTAGAGAAACCAAAGACAGGGTTTTCAATTGGTTTTCTGTGGCTAAATGCCAATAGCTTCAGAACTATTTAAAAAATATGTTTTCCTTTCCATTCTGAATGTTAACCATCTTCTGAATTAATCCCAAGGATAAGGAGATCAGAGAGCATCCTCTAGACTCCAGGTATCACAGTCTAATGCTAACATTTTTTTCCCAAGAAAATACCACCTTAACCTGAATAACGGGCACTGTCCCCCACAGTTCTATTTTCCATTGTAACAACCACACTGTATAGCTCAACCCCTCTCTCCCTAATAGGAAAACACATGTTATTATATTGATCACTCATACATTTCAGAATGTTCATATCATCTCAAACTCATAACCTAATTACACCTGACAAAGTCCTTTTGACACATTAATTTCAATGTAAAAGTTCTAGAGCCTAGACTTGGATAATCATGGAAAGGTTCAGTGAGGTCCATTATTCCCAAATCATTATATTACATTATATCCTCTCCTTAAAACATAAACTTTCTGAAATCTGAAAAAAAATCAGAAAGTCTATTAATCAACAGAGTAGGGAGACACACAAATCTCAATATGTGCAGATATGTGTGAATTAGAGTTTCTTAAGAGATTGTTGAATGTTTTCATTCTAAGCAGAAGTTAGTGATGCTTACTGTTAAACCATCAATGCACACTTTCCTAGGAAGATATACTCCAAAACAAAATTGTTTAGTTCTTAGTGGAAACTAAGGCCTATTGATAAAGGAAAGTTGAGTGTTTCTGGAATTCCTGTCATATTTGCACATATCCTTAAAAGAAATGTGGTAAGAATTCAGATCCCAGATGCCCTGCAAACTAATGATTCATTCGTTTTAATTCGAGAGGAATTATCATCCTCCTATTAACATCCACTAAAAATGTCCTGAGCGAATCTTTCTCATATCATGTGAGGATATCATGTGAGAATGCAGAAATGTTTTCCAAGCCTCAAAGATCCAAGACAGACACAGTTACAGGTGTTAGATATTAGCAGAGAGTGCAAGGAAGACGTAGAGAAGGCAGAATTACTATTAATCCTTCCAAAAGCTGCTGTGTTGTACTCCTGATGGGGATGGTGCACTGTATATTGAAGAACCTGCTTTATGCCTAAGTGCTTGTTCTCCCACATCACTCAAGGCCCTTAGAAACTCACCGTGTTCAAACTCATGCTGCAACATTGTAGGACCTTCCATAGTTAGTTTCTGAAAGATCCCAAGGATTCCATGGCTTGAGGACAAAGTATTGAAGACTGAAGAGATTGTGCTTCTCCTGATGACGAATAAGGTTGAATGGTCATAATAAATACATGCATATGTGATGTACTCAATATTTGTGTTATAAGGATGCACAAACATTTCCGTATCATAGCTTGATTGGAGACTTTCACCCACACGCAGACAGCAAGGCTGCTGCCTGAATCAGGATAATTCCTCCAAGTACCGCTCAAGAACAAAATGTGAAAGTAGCCATGTTTTCTGCTACAGTAGTCAATTCTATCAGCACTAGTTAATCCTTTATGCTGAGAAAATATGGGAAATAGTTGCTAGCAAATGATAGAAAAGATCAAAATATGGAGGATCCCAAACTGAGCAAAAGTGCTCATTTAGTCTCTATGTATGAAAGTACCTCCATCTTCACGTGGAATCAGAACTTCATGTGGCAGAGATTGCTTGGATCAAGGTGTTACATGTGCATGTGCTGTGTATTTCCTCTTTTTTGAACTGTAGTTTGCAAGGTTAAAGCTGTAAAATCTTATGTTTTAGGTCAGTGAAATTGGATATGATAAATTGTCCTTCTAATTTCAAGAAATGTCTACTCCAAAAAATTCACAATGGGAACACATATTATTGTTATTTTTTTAACCAATCAGAATCATTTGAGTGAGTTAAAGAGCTGATAGTTAATTCTATGTTGTATATTCCCTGACTGCAGAATATCCTTCTATGGTACTCTAGTATATCTTTGAAATATATTATTCAAAATAGAGACTAGATACATTAAAACTGTCACCTATATTTTAAAATCTTTGAAAAGAAATTCATTCTTTGGAGACATACATGTGGTTTAACCTCAGGTGTCTGGGGACACTGGGCTTGTGTCAAGTGCTGAGACGCCTTAAGCCTTGCAGGTGTGACCAGTGCTAATTGGTTTTCAGTAATTTCCATGCCCTCACTGCACAGCCTAGGGCACTTCTTCATATACCAGTCATACCTAATACCAGTCACACTCTGTGCCATTATGATTGCAGTCAGGTCTCAGCATGTACATGAGGGCCCCTGCTCAGTTTCTTGGGTTCTTGTTGCTCTGGTTTCCAGGTAAAAGGAACTAAAATATGAATTTCACTGTTATACTGTGATTAGTGTTGACTGGCATTTGGGGATTGTTCTATTTTATCATGCTTACCTATGTCAATATTCATTATGTCTCCACTTCTAGGTGTCAGATGTGACATCCAGATGACCCAGTCTCCATCCTCTATGTCTGCCTCTCTGGGAGACACAGTCTCAGTTGTCAGGCAAGTCAGGGCATTAGCAGTTATTTAAGCTGGTACCAGCAGAAATCAGGGAAATCTGCTAAGTGCCTGATCTGTGGTGCAACCAACCTGGCAGATGGGGTCCCATCAAGGTTAAATGGCAGTGGGTCTGGGTCAGATTATACTCTGACCATCAGCTGCCTGAAGTCTGGAGATACAAGAATCTATTACTGTCTACAATCTTTTCAGTATCTTCCCACAGTGATACAAGTCATAACATAAACCCCATAGAAGCAGAAGTGAGAGGCTTGGCTGCCCCAGCTGCTCCTCGTCATGAATCACTCACTCTATTTCTCAGATGTCACAGGTCTCTCTGAGAGACTTGGATCATGTCAGGTGTGGTCTTAGGTGTGCTATGCCCTGCCCACCCATTATGGTCTCAGACTGGTGGTTTTATCAGGCCAGCTCCTTGTCTTGATCTCATGGTACTTGTCTGGTGGTCACCTTGGGCTCATTCCCCACCTTGTTCACCTTAGTGGCCCCTTGAATGTTTTGTCTGTCTCAGGTTCACTCATGCCCATGGCCTTGGTCATAGGAAGGTTTATTCCAGTTTCTGGATTACCTTCCTGGAAGACTGTCTGTACTTGCCTCATGCCAGTCAGGCTGTCTTCGGCTTACTTCTTTCATGGAATGTTAGGCTACTAATCATTCAGATGTTCATAGGTCAGGACAGTGAGTTGAGTGTAGACATAACCTCTCTCTTCTCTGCCTCCTACTGATACTCGCATAACATAAAAGAGACACTTGCAATGCCTCTGGGATTCAAGAGTGCACAACAGTCTTGATCACTCTAATTTCATACATCAAAGAATAAAGTCAGAAGATATAATGCCAATTTTCTAGGGTTCCATTTTTCTAGTTATGCTGTCCTTTGAGTATCTACATAAACTCCAGACTGAGTTTACCAACATTCGAAACTTTTTCAGGAATATTATTTGCATTACATTGAGTTTATTAGCAAACTGGAAATGATAAACATTTAAATCTTTTTTATGGGATTGGAGTGAAAGCCAAGTGTTCAAGAAGGTTTGTTTATCTCAAAAGGGACATAGGTTTGATTCTTAGCCCCCATATGGTGACTAACAGCTATCTTTATCTATCTATCTGTCTATCTATCTATCTATCTATCTATCTATCTATCTATCTATCTAATATATATGAATGCTCTGTGTACACACACACACACACACACACACACACACACACACACACACCCCAGATGATGGAATCTGGAATCTGATATCATTATAGATGGTTGTAAGTCATCATATGTGTGCTGGGAATTGAACTCACGACCTCTGGACAAGCACTAAGTGCTCTTAACCACTCCACACCTATCTTTAATTTCCGTTTCAGTGGATCAAGCACCATCTTCTGTCCTTTAATGGTACTAGACATGTACATAACATTCTTAGGGACATGCAAACAATACATAAATTTGCATTTTTTAAAAACAGTTCATTGTATAAACACAGATATATTCTCTGTTCACTTGTATTTTTTTTAATGTATAGAGACTATTATTCAATCCTTAGTGTATGTAGAGGTTTTATTGTAATTACTTTCAAATATGTACACTGAGTTTCCTTGATTTATGAATTTATATACTAATATTATAAGCCTCTTCACCTGGGCATTGGTTCATTAGCACATAAGGGCCTGTTCAATGTTAGGCTCCAACCTGAAGTGCAGGGTGGACTGTCTGGCACTTGCTTCTGAGGGCTACTTTTTATCAGTGCAAACACAGGCGTACATTATTCCAAGTTACAGAAGACAGTTTCAATTATGTTTTCATTAATGCTAGGGTTAGGATTGATTATTGCTAGGGTTACAATTAGTATTAACATTAGTTCTGTAGTTATGGTCAATCATATGCTTAGTTTAAGATTAGAACTATTGCTACTGATACCGTTAGACAAAATGTTAGGGTTAGGAATAAGGTTTGGAGTTCAAGGGTAGGTTTGTTAGGTTTAGGTTAAAGTTAAGAGTAGGATTTCTGGTTACAGGTTAGGTCATGGATAAGTGTAGGATTAATGCTAGGACCAAATTTGTTGTGGTCAGGGCACAGGTGATTCAGGATGGGAGAGATAATTTTGTGTTGAGCTGCAGCTAATCAGGCAAAGTATGGACACCTGATCCATGGGTGCAGTTAATAAAAAAAGCAAACCAAAAATCAAAAGAAAACATAGAGGCTGAGCAAAGGTGCATCCTATTCAGAAAAGCACAGAACCCTTTCTCCAAGTGTACAACTGATCATGAAAACAGAAGATAACAATTCCATATGTACACCTAATTAAAAAATAAAAGGAAAAAGCTGCATCCAGGATCAAGCTAATGATGAAAAATGTCTGAAAGCTGTTACGAAAGCATAACTAATTGGAAGAGTTAGCATTCCTGTGTCTAGTTCTCCAAATAGTCAGCACACCTGCACATGGATGTCTTCATAGAGTTTAAAACATGGATATACTGGTGCAGAAGGAGAGCATGACACACTGGTGTCCTAGTGCATGGATATGCTTGAAGAACAGGATGCATGTGTACAAGGATGTGCATGTGTACGTGAAAACACTTGTAGTAGTGCACATGGAAGTAGTTGTACACCACTGCACACAATTCAGATAGTGCACATGTTGTCTGTGAATCGTATCTTGGATATTCCGAGCTTCTGAGACCACATGAGGCTCAAGAAGAAAGAAGACCAAAATGTGGATGCTTCAGTCCTCCGTAGAAGGGGGAACAAAATACTCAAGGGAGGCAATACAAAGACAAAGTTTGGAGCAGAGACTCAAGAAAAGGCCATCCAGAGGCTTCCCCACCCATATGCACAAGCCTATGTTAAACAGCAGTGTTGTAGGAGCAGATTGCTGAACATCAATGTATTGGCTGAGCAATGGACCTCTGTGTACACAACAACAGCAAACTTGGCTGTACTACTTCTGCATGTCCATAGATCTAACTGGACAGTACCATATGTATATTTACTAGTAAAGAAGTGCAAATGTTTACTCAAAACATGTTTACTCAAATAACAAAGACTGTTACTGCATTGCACATGGACACAGATGTGCTTGTGCAGAAGTAGAGAAGTGCACCCTGATGTTCTACTAATGATGTGTCCGTGTATTTCCTGGTAAACATGAACACCCGGATGTCCATGAACAGTAGTCCACATAGGTTTACCATTACAAAAGCACACATGGAAATCAAGTAAAGAAGTGTACATAGATGTATTATTACAGGAGATGTCACATGTTCTCTCAAAGCAGTACACATGCATGTAAGAGTACAGCTTTCCTCAGATGTACTGTTATAGAAACACAAATGTGATAAGTCCTACAGCAGGACTTACATTTGTATGACATTACTTTCCATGGAACTAGATCATTGCACACAAGGATGTAATGGTACATCATTGAAGTCAATGTACTAATAGAGGAGTGAATATTCATCTATTATTAAAGCACTACACAATTTTAATATTCACCAAAAGTGCATCCTTGTTATAAGGACGTAGTGCACTGTGAATGCAGCGGAAATACCTCTTTTGCATATGCAAAGGAAATAAAGGAGCCCTTAAGAATAACAATCTACACCCAGAACCCCCCTGACTGGCGATCTGAATCCTTGCTTGGGCTGCAAGGCTAAGCACTGCAAGGGAATATAAATAAAAGTTAAAAATATCTCTCTGAGTTCCCTGAGGAACAAGCCTGACTGCATAGGGGTTGATGTCTAAAGTATCCCCTCTCCAGGAAAAAGACATCGGGATGGGTATGGCCCTCATGCCTCAGTGGACAACGACAGGGGGACCGGAGCCATTACAAGGTCCCCTTCAATTACTGGAGGTCAGGCCTCTATCCCTCCCTTCACAAGGTTAGAATTGCCACAGCCCTTCTATACTTAGAGAAGGGAGGAGATGTCAGTGGCAGCACTGCTTACACACTGAAGGCCTAAAATCAACCATAGGCCTAAAATCAGCAATAGGCCTGACATACATGTATACTAACACCAAGTCTTGGGTCTCAGTGGAAGAACATTGAAACAGCTGGCTATAAGCTAATGTAAACAGGCAGCTTTTGTGGAAATTTACCAGCCCGGGTAGTCATAGACCTTGGAAATAGGTAGCCTTGGCAGACAATACCAACTTAGATAAGGACAAGTGAATCATAGGCAGAGTCATAGTGACCTGTCCCTTGAACCTTCACCCAGCTGATACCCTATTTGGAAAGATACCTGTATTCCCCCTGAACACCCACGCTCCAGTGTCATCCCCTTCCCCACGTCCTGCCTTTTTGTGTTTATAACCCCTGTGTGAATAAGTAAAAATTATGATTTGATTTAAAAAAAAAGAATAACAATCTATGTCTGCTGCTTAAATAACACCTTAGTGATGGAATATTCAGGGTTATGGCTCAGTGACAGAGTACATGCCCAGAATCTTCAAAGCCCATGTTCCAATACTGATCACCAAGTATATAAATAAATAATTTAAAAATATGGATCCTAACAGCTTATCAAACAGCCAGATCAATGCGTCCCGAGCCCTCCAATCCAAACTAAACGTTCTCGACTGCAATGAAGGTTAAATAATAATGTAAGCAGGCCCTCCAAGTGTTATTTTCATCCTTTCTCTATTTAAATTGTATTATAACCCCCACAGTTTGTGTTAATTAAAGCCACTGTCTATAACAATATGAACTGAGATGTTTTTCTAATACTTATTTCCATGTCTCTATCAGTCTGTAATGCCACCACTCAACATGCACGGGTAAGAGAATTGCAACCTGGGACCACACAGTAAGACTCTTTCTCAAATACTAATGATATTTATGTAATTTTTTTTATGTTCAAAACTTAAGAAAAATCCTCTATCACATAAATTATTACAAAGCCACACCTCTTAAAACATGAATTAAGTCATTTCAAGAACGCACACAGTATAAAACTTGCCATTCTTTTCTATTTCTGATTTATCATAGGTAGGTCCCAGTTAGGCTGGCTTGTCTTCCAATAATGCCACAAGGGCTTGAGTTACAACAATGTTTGGGTGTGGTCACAAGTTTATTACTTCAGCAGTTCCTCAGAGAAAGTTGTGTAGAAATGTCCATTGATTTGGATAGCTGACTGTGATGGGATTGATGCTCATTGTGGCAGAAATCACATGCTGAAGAGGGAGCTGGGACATTTTGCTTTTAACCTATGCTTTTGGAACAGAAAGATTCAATTTCAGAATGCTCTTTAACAATCTCAGAAACACACAGAGGAAACACACCACCCTGGCTTACCTGTGTACTCAGGAGCACAGAGTGTCTGTTGTCAGCCGTCCCACTGATGTGCTACATAGACCAGACCAGAGATTGGCTTGCCAACCTTGATGTGCCCACCCCATGGATATCCCAAGGCAGAAGGGCTGGTGGAAATGCCAGCTCTCTTGGCTGGAGTTAAGCACATTAACTGAATTAATCAATGGAAATGTGTTAACCCAGAGACTCAAGGCCAGGCCACTCAAATCATTGCCAGGAATCAATAGCATTTCAGATAGACAACAAAAACAGGTTTCTTCAGGGGCAGTTTTATACTGTCTTCATCATTAAAAACCCAAGCAAACAAACTTGCCACCTTTAGTCACACATATCTCTGTATCATAACACGATGCAAATGGAAAAAGTTAACTAAACATTTTCCTTTTAATGAATATGCATGCACCAAGGGTATCACCGAGTAACTGGAATGTGGCATTTCAGTCTGGAAATTCCCATGTTGCCATCCT